CATTGGTAATAACCAATCTATATATAGAGTTTGGTGTGTTTCTTTCCTGAAGGGCTCTGCACAGTAAATAAAGTAAAACCAATAATTATCAATGGTCAACTAGCCATGTCCTGAACAGAAGTATTCGGATGGGCATAAATCATAGTGTCTAAGCAGACAGACTGGAGAGAAATCTACCAGCTGTTTTCCTAAGGATTAGGGAAAAAACTATTGCTTAATGATATTTTTTTAAAGCCTTAAGTGACGGTCTTATGAATTTGTAAGAGCTTCTTCTTTTCTTTCTTTTTTTTTTAGTGCTAAAAAATATAATCTTTTAATTAAGTTTATTTTGTCTGTATATAAACTTTATGATATAAGCACAAATTTATTTTTTCATCTAAGAGGTATTTATTTTCCCTGTACCAAACACAGGTTTTTTTTTTTTTTTTTTTGAAGCCTTTTTCTCCTAAGGGAAGAATATTAAAAATCTTGGGTAATGAGTAAGGTTTGACTTACTCTGCATTAACCAGAATATGACCTATTTTCCCCTTTTTCTTCCTTGTGTGCATTTTTTGCTCAACTTAAATAGGTTAACGGTCAATGTATATGGATAGTGTTGTACTAAATATATGGGTAGTGTGCCTACTTTTGAAAAGCTATTTTAGGAAAAAGAACCCATTATTTATTATTTACATACACTTTGGGCTGTTCCTCTCAGGCATGAGTGTTGTGTGCTGGTAGACCTTCATGATGCATGTGATTACTTGGAAAGAGAATGCTTTGGAAATGTCTCTTAGAGCCTTGGAATACATGAGCAGTAGTGTGTGGAAGGACAGCAGCGGGGGACATGCTATTTATGGCTCTATAATGTCAGTTTCAAAATGACCCTGGGAATCTTGTGGCTCGATTTGTTAACTCAGTTTCTTGAGGTTTGGTACTATCAGAATTAGAACCAGTTCCATGTTGAGTATTTGGTTTTTAAGAGAAGGCTCCTCTGTGACAACACTTTCTGTCACTCATCTATACCAATCTTTTAGAAGTTCATGTTGACTTTAGGGAGCGGGAGTTTGGAGAAGAATTTGAGTGACTAGGAGCAACTCATTGCTGCTCCTGGAAAGCAAGTTGTTTAACAATGGAAATCAGTGAAGGATGGCCTGTATCTTAAAAAATTTCAATAAACATTTGTTGCTTTACCGGGCTCAGTGTTAGTGCCCAGAGTTACAGATATGAGTAATAATGGGGTTGCTGACCTCAAGGTGCTCTATGTAGTGGAGGAGTCTGAGAGGCGAGTGAATGTTATCTGACAGTCTGATAAATGCTCCAACCTGATAAGTGCAACAAGAGAAGCTTGGAAGAGGAACAAGGGAGACACTCTGAAAGAGCTAACATCTGGGCTGGATTTTGACAAGAATAAGAACTTCCAGTGATTTCTACTGAATTAATTTGTATCGTTTCAAGAAGGGATATTAATCCTCCCATTTTACCCTCACCTAAAAACATTTGATGGCTTTCCAAAGATGAATGTCCCTTTAATAAGTTCTGTAAGTTTTATTACATAGATCTTAAGATTATCTAATTCTCAAACAATTGCAAGGAAGAATGAGTTGAAGGGTTTGGGATGCTTAGATCTTATGTCAGTGACACAGTGGTCAGTGATGATGGAACAGGGATTCTTAATGAAGAAGTTTGGCTGAGTGACGCAAGGAGATCCCAAAGGTGGTCCTGTTAGTTTAACAATAATTGCTTTATGTCTATTGTACTATCCCTACTGGCTAAGATGTTTCTTAGTTTGAACTCCTGTTTCTTTATAAGAACTAGGTTAGAAACTCATGTTAATGATTTAGGTTATAAGATACTTGAGTAAATAACTACTTCCAAAAAAAAAAAAAAAACTACTTCCCCTAATTTGGCATTCTTCAGATTAGGACTGTAGATTTATATTCGTATTGCTACTGATTTTCTGGCATGTTTACTGTGTATAAAATTTCCTGTTGTTTGCTTCTAATTAGGAACTCAGGGTGCTTCTACAGACATTGTTTATTGTTATTTATGAAAATATTGAATTTAAAAATAATTGGGGTATGCATTGGTAAATAGTTTCTTATAAACCAGACTTAAAAAAAATAAACCAGACTTTTATGGAATATTAATACGTAATAAATCATTTCCTTTAGAGGGTGGGAAAAAAATCTCAAACTTTCAACTAGAAGATGTGCTCACTAACAGCTGTTTCCTATAATAGAAGCAATTTGCATGCAGAATAGAGAAAATGAATTCTACAAAAGGGTGTATGGAGGAGCAGCTTTAACTTGCTTGGCATGTACAGCAGTGCACAGAATAAACTTCCTTCAAATGACATTGGCATGATTAATCCCAAACAGCCTGGACACTGAAACTGCAGTGTGGCAGAGAGGCTTTGCAGTCTGGAAATGTCATGGGTGTAATATGAGCCTTCAGTTTGGGGTGGGGTGGGCATTGCTCAATGCTTTTGGTGGTGTACCCCCTCCCAAGGGTCCAGGATATTTGAATATTCATGACAGGTTGGCAGGTGGTTAGTGGATACATGACTGAAGCTACTCTGAGTTGTTGTGCTTTTTCATTTTTTTATTAGAGACACTTGTAAGATCAGGTGAGATTCTTCATTCCTGATTTATTTCTGATGTCTGTTTAGGGAAGGATTCCTGAGATGGGTTAAAAGTGATGTCCAAGTGTTAAGATCTTATCTTCAATATATGTCTTTATAGCCATAGTTGTCTAACCAACTTTCATGTTCATCATCATTGTATAGAAGAAAAATGCCTTACACTTAAATTTCTAGGCATACATAGTCTTGCATCTTTCTTTTTTTTCCTTAAGATTTTATTTATTTATTCATGAGAGACGGAGGGGGGGAGAGAGAGAGAGAGAGAGAGGCAGAGACACAGAGTAAGAAGCAGACTTCATGGAGGGAGCCTGATGTGGGACTCAATCCTGGGACTCCAGGACCATCCCCTTGGCCGAAGGCAGGCGCCAAACTGCTGAGCCACCCAGGGGTCCCTAGTCTTCTTGCATCTTTATGGCCATGCTTACAATTGGGTGGATGGTTTGTGTTCTCTCTCTCTCTCTCTCTCTTTGAAAGAGTGAGAATGAGGTGGGAGGGGCAGAGGGAGAGAGAGTATCTTAAGCAGGCTCCATGCCCAGTGCAGAGCTGGACATGGGGGCTCTGTCTCACAGCCCTGAAATTATGACCTGAGCTGAAACTAAGAGTTCGATGCTTAACTGACTGAGCCCCCCAGGTACCCCAGTAGTGTCCCTTTTTAAAGGGAAAGGAAATAGAAGCTGTCTGGAAGATTCTTAGTCCAGGGGCCATAGACCTGAGTGTTATATAATCTAAATCCAGGGCTCTACTTATTGCCTTCCGGTTTCATCCAAAAAATTTACATGAGAATTGGATATTTCACAGATTAGATATCCTGCCTCACTTCAGTCCTTTTTTGAGAATGTGTGTGTGCCAGGATCTGTGCTGTGTCTTTTATATCCATCACCCTCTTTAATCCTTACACTGTTTGAAAGAAAACCCAACGTTCAGAGAATTGAAGTAACTTTCAATAACCAGTGGTAGCCTGGTTAGTCCAAGGTGGAGCCCGGATTGGCACTCACATGTGCCAGAGCCACTGACACTTGATATTCACTCTGTTCCTGAGGTAAATGTTTCCATCCTCGAAGATTGGAAGGAAATTACAGATGAGATTCCTGAATATATGGTAATGGGGAACTCTGTTGAGTGTCAAACCAGTGATTCAGACAGTTAATGCTTTGGGAGGGTTAAAAGGAGAAGAGATGATGGTACTTTGTGGTCTGGAAAGGCCACAAAATTTGTGATGAAATTTGAATTTGAGCTAGGAGAAGATACTAACAGTCGTATCAAAGTGTGATGCAGAGAATGACAGGAGGACGAGACACAGTTGGGAAATGCTGGTCATATTTGGGGGAAGTTGGTGCACTTGAATGTAGCATAGGAGGATTGATGGATGACACAAGAGGAAGGCTGAAAAAGTGTGCTGGAGTGCTGCTGCAGAGGACTGGAGCTGCCACATGTGTCACCTTAATGTTCAGCATGTACATTTTTACTTCTTTGTGACACTATCGAATGCAGTCTTAAGTAGAATAATTTGAGTTGGCTTGTGACTGATTTCAATTTAATTGATATTCTAGTGGTATGAAATTATATTTAGCTTCTTTAGGATGTCTCTCATTTCCCAAGAACTTGCCTATATAGTCTGACCTAATTCTTTTTTGGGGGGCGAAATTTGGGATAGTGACGTTATGGGCACTAATGACACTGGGAGACTCTGGACTTGGGATTTTCTTTTTTTTTTTTTTTAAGATTTTATTTATTTATTTATTCATGTGTGTGTGTGAGAGAGAGAGAGAGAGAGACAGGTAGAGGGAGAAGCAGGCTCCATGCAGGGAGCCCGATATGGGACTCGATCCTGGGTCCCCAGGATCAGGCCCTAGGCTGAAGGTGGTGCCAAACCGCTGAGCCACCCGGGCTGCCCAGGACTTGGGGTTTTCTAAGGAAGGAGGGTGTCCAGCCACTTTTTGGCATAGAAATCAGGGTATCTCCAAAAAGTAAGGGATTTAAGGGGTGAGGTGATTTACATAAAAAACCTGACATAAATAATACTTTTGTTAGGAAAGTTTCAAGCTTTGGAGCATAAGGGCTATCCTCAATTTCCCTAAAGCTTTAGGGCAGGGTGAGAACAACTGCAGTCAAGTTATTAGTGATCATGATTGACTGCTGAGATGCTCCCCCATCAAGATTTGAGCAAATATCTTACAGATTTGCTTTACCTAGGAAAATTATTGTAGATTCTGGAGAAGTAAAGGATAGTTCAGAGATGCAGATGGGGCTTTAGCAAAAAGGCTGTGAAAACTGAGCATGATCTAGATAGTAGAATGGCATTTTTTTCAAAAGAAAGAAGAATGTCTTTTTGTCTTTTATTCTCTTCTCACCTATTTTCTCTTTTTTAATGTTGCAGTGTGCAAAGATCCACCTTACAAAGTAGAAGAATCTGGGTATGCTGGTTTCATTTTGCCAATTGAGGTTTATTTTAAAAACAAGGTATGTAATCTTTACCCATTAATCTTTCAGTGAAAGATCCTTCGTTAAACAAATGATGTTTAAAATAATTTTGATTCATAAACACTTCTATCACTAGATGATTTTAAATAAAAGTTAAATTTGTCTTCTAGGAATTTTGGCTGCTGTTACCCTTAATTATAGAGGAAGTGGCTAAAAAAGATAATTTCAATTATCTGAAGCCAGATTACATGAAATTCACTGAACTTTTTAAGAGAATGACTACCATTTGAAAAAGATTAATTAATATATGTTTGTAAAGCAGAAAAGAGAAATTAGATTCTTTCAGTGAAATACTCCTTTTCTCATTTTCATATTTTTAGAATTTTAGACACTTGCAGAGAATAATCTCTCATTTATCTTTAGCTACCACACACGCACAGCATACATATACAATTATATCAACTTGACATATTATGGATTCTACTGGATTTAAAAGTATATATGTAGCAAAACACACAGACTATATGATATTGGACAAATTGCTCAACCTATGTGGGGTTCACTTTTATTATTTGTAAAATGGGGACAGGATAAGAGTACCTCATAAGAGGGCTAGGAGGATTATATGCTATATGTCTATGTAAAATATTTAGAATAATGCTTCATGTATAAGTAAGCCCTTAGTAAATGCTACTGATTATCTTTCTCAGTAATACCACTGACATGTTCACGTTTTTTAATCAAATTAGAATTTGTTGAGATGCATTATGTCTGCTCATGTGATAAAACTTTACATTGACGTATTGATTTGTTTTTTCTCATTTCAAATTGGATTTCTCTAAAACTAGCTTTAAGTTTCTTTTTTTAATTTAAAAAATCGAGATATAATTTACATATCATAAAATTCATTTTTTAAAAAGTGTACACCTCATCGGGTTTTAGTAAATTGTGCAGACATCACCACTATCTAATTCTCTGACTTTCTTAGGATTTTCATCACTCCATAAGGAAACTCTTTACCTATTAGCAGTCACTCATTCCTTCCTCCCCCAGCCCCCAGCAATGATTAATCTACTTTTCTCATTGTAATTTCCTAATCTGGTGATTTCATATAAATTGAATCATACAATATGTGGTCTTTTGTGCCTGGCTTCTTTCATGTTGTATGCCTTTAAGATTTATTTATATTATAGGATGTATCAGTATTTACTATTTTTTTAAAATAACTGAATAACATCCTATTGTATAAATACACCACATTTTGTTTATTAATTCATAATTTGCTGGCCATTTGACCTTTTTCCCCACCTCTGGCAACTGTGAATAATGCTGTTGTGAATATTCATATACAAGTTTTTGTGTGGACACAGGTTTTCAAATCTCCTGGGTATATACCTAGGTGGAGTGGTTATGTCATATGTAACTCTGTGTTTAACTTTTTGAAGAACTGCCAGCTGTTTTCCAAAATGACTGTACACATTCCTACCAGTACTGGTGGGAAGGATCCAGTTTCTCCACATCCTGGAAAACATTTGTCATTTTCCATTTTTAAAATTATAGTTATCGTGGTACATGTGAAATGGTTTTGATATGCATTTGCCTGATGACTTATGATTTTGAATATCTTTTCATATGCTTATTGTCCATCTGTTTATTTTCTTTGGAGAAATGACTCTTTAAATCTTTTGCCCATTTTTTAATGTATTGATTTTCAATTAAAGTGGTTGTGTTTATGGGAAGGAACAGAGAGCCTATCTCTCCACCCATCCTTGTTTTCAATATTCTACAAGTTTAATTAATAAAGATCACGTGGTGCTTTTCTTCCCTCTTGTCACACACATCCTGTGTTTTATTTCATCTAGGCATTGGGCTACCTGTAGGAAGAGTCTAGACTTTTAAGCCAGAAAAGTTGTTGTTTCAAAGAAATAGGGGCTAGAAATGATCTCTTGTGGGAGGATCATAATAGCTATACCATTCTATTCCCATCTCCATAAGTCAATTTAACATTGCATTGGCTTCTGTTTGGAAATAATGCTGTTGTAATGAAGCATCTTCTTTATTTTTACCTTTTCTGGTCATTTTGAAAGGCTGTTCAACAAAAAAAATATATTTTCTAAATTGCCTAATCTAAATCCTTATTTAGAGAAATAACCAGAATCTCCCTACATACCTCACACATGTGCGTGCACACACAGGTTCAGGTTCAGTCTTCTTGGCACTTTGGGTAGTCATTCTTATGGCTAATCTTATTGACTCATTTTGTGAGGAATTGTAGTTTATTTAAAGGAAGAAAGAGGCACATGAGATGGAAAGCAGTAACTCCTTTGGGGCCATTATGAAATAGACACTTGAGCTGAACACCATTAAATAGATTTCCTGTTTAGCATCCATATTAGTTTTACTTCAGTTTTCCAGTTTTAGATTTTCTTTAAGATTTTATATTTAATAATGGCTGCTATTTTTATAGGTACACAATGAGACATCTATATTTTAGTGTTTATAATATGAAAAAGTAGGATGCACTTAATTGGTCCTATGTAGAGATGTGGATCAATAAATGGTGGGTTAGTAATACATGGAATGCTATCTAGCAGTTAATGTAGCAACATGGATAAGTCTCAAAAATAAGAATGATGACAACTTAAAAGTTACAGAAGTATACGTATATGGTTACGATACCATTTATATATGTTTTTATAAGCCACTGAAGCTGAGAATAAATAATGTTCTAGAAATACACATAAGTAGCACAAGAGTGTGAATTGAAATGACAGCATAAGAACTAAGTAGCATTGGTTACTGGGGAGGAGAGAGGGAGCGAGAAGCTTATATTTATAAAATTGTATCCTTCAAAGAAAAGGTAAACACAGTGAAAGCGTTAACATCTGTTTAATCACAGTGAAAGGTACATGGGGTAGTATTTGAGGTTATTTTCTATATGTTATTAGTTTTTTAATTAAAAAATTATTTCTTTGTCATCTCTTTTCATTTATCTTGTGTTGTTTGTGTGTGGTTGTTTTTTTTGTTTGTTTGTTTTGTTTACAAACCAAAGTTTTGCCGTGTTCTCTGAGCCTTATATACTTCTCATTTCTCTTGCTACTGAAATGATCTGTGAATAAAAATGTAAGAGTCTGGGCTATTCCTCCAGAATGTACATTGTATTTCTTTTGGGTTTTTATCATTTTATTCTTCCCTGGAGTTTATTGAACTTTGTCTTGAAGAATGAACAACCATTACAATCATGATTTATGGAAAGTATTGTTCAGAGTTTTCAGAGGAGATGAAAGAAAGCTTGCAAAAAGACTTCCATGTGATCTTGGAAGAGTCCTACTGCATATTAAGGATGATATCATGCTGTCCTCAGGTCCATCTCCATCCTTTTACCTTCCCTGCTTCCAATAAGCCTTTTTTTCAATTTTGCTTATATTTGAGAGGTCAGATAAAAGGGGAGGTGCAGTGTCTGTCAGTGCTGCTTTTGAGTTTGTGCATGTTTATTCTGTCTTACTTTGCATTTGTGTTCAACAAAACAAACCTATGTATGAGAATTATGAGTGTTACAGAAACTTTAAACCAGTAGGCACACTAAAACATAATTGACTATGCTATGATTATGATCTTAGCATTTTAGGTTGAAAGGATACCCTGCTTCTCTCTTCCATTCTGTCCTCAGAGGAGGTACCTGAGTAAATGTCAAAGATTGAAGCAGAATGAGAGGGACAATTTTATATGGCCAAAACCATATTTCCATCCCTAGGAGGAAATACATTAGCTTTATATATGGAATAAGCGCATACTTCCTTGTTTATAATTTGAGAAGAATCTTTCCTCAGGAGCATAGATTGACATAATGTTGAAGTCTGCCCTCCAAGAAAGAGATCACTTGGCTAGAATGTAAGGTTTGTGAGTACTTTTTCCTTATTCAAGTGAAAACAACTCTTTAAAAGAAAATTGCACTCAGGATTTGTAGATAGTCACTATAGTCCTGACCCTTAGTTTTATGGAAGAGTGATTTTTTTTAAACTGTTGTGAAGTGATTGTTATCCATTCTTTTTCTGCTAGTAATGATTTATATTCATCAATATATTTTTATCTTTAAAACATACAGGAGTATATTTTTTTGACTCCATTTAATCATTATTATTAGTATTTGGTACCGCCTTTCCTGATTCCCCCCATGCATTTGCACAGATAAAATCTATGTCAAGTAGAGATTGGCAGGGGTATAATATATCATACTTTAATATTTTCTGTGACTTACCTTACTCTGCTTAGCGGTATTTTCCAAATCTGTATTTTTAAACATCTGAATGGTAGTCAATGATAAGATGTACTCACTTGAAGAACATTTCAATTTTTTTTTTTACCATTGCAAACAGTGCTACCATGAACATTTATCATCTATATCTATCTTTGCACACATATTTGAATATATCTGTGGAAGAGATTCTTAGAATTACTGGGTTAGCATGTTGATAGATACTGCCAAATTGTCTTCCCAGAAGGCCTTACAAATTTACAGTTCCAATTACAAGGCAGAAAACAGCCCTTTTGATGTTTTTAATTAAATTTTAAGGTTGCGTTGACTGTTTTACAGTTTAGAGGAGAGGCAGGTAAGTAAAAACTGATCATAATTCAATGTGATAATCACATGAATAACGGAATGCTATACAAGGGATGTCTAATACAGGCTGAATTGGAAGTATTAGAGAGACTTTCCAGTGGATTTCATATTTTAGCTGGGTTTTGAATAATGAGTGCATTAAGCAAGCAAGAGGGGGAGGTGTGTTGGGAGAGAAGACAGTGTAGGCGTGGGGAGCAGTACATGTGAAAGGCAAAATGAATGAGATAATGCGAAGTACTGGGAACTGAAAGTGCTTCAAAATTATGGGAGCACAGGGTGTCAGAACAAAGGAAATGCAAGGAAAGTATTAAAGGACTAAGATGGTTATTCTAGGGAAGTGGGATTTTATCCTGTGGAAAATGATGAGTCATTAAAGGCATTTATATCAATGAAAATATGTAATCTGATTTTTGTACTGGGAAGATCACTGTCTTGTCATTGTGGGAGATAGAATGGGGTGAGTTCAAAAATAGGGGATATGACAAGGTAAGGAATGATGAAGGCCTAAGCTAAGGCAAGGGTGTGGCGACTGGACAACAGGATTGGTTTGAGAATTCCTAAGGGGGGAATATTAAATAGAACTCAGGAGACTATTTGAGTGTGATGGATGAAGGAGGAGGAAGAGCTGGGTATGTTTTTCTGTATTTTAACCTTGATAAGAAATTACGATTTCTGTTTGCCACAATATATAGAGTATAGGAGAAAGGACAGATGAAGATAACCTCAGGTTAAGGTAATCCATGACTTTGAGGTTGCTGTTGGTCCACTTAGTGGAGCTGTGAGCAGACTCCGGAACATGTGTATATGGCAGTCGGATGCAAGCTGGGCTGGAGGTATAAAGACAGGGGAGGGAGAAGTGACTCCCTGTGAATGGGTATCAGCTCCGTGGGGAACTTTGTCTAAAGTTAAAGGAAGTTTAGGGGTTAGTGAAGAAAGATGGGAAGCCTGGGAAGAAGAATAGGAAGGAATGTCAGTTAAGTGTGGGGAGAACTGGGAGAGAAGGTATCCTGATGAAAGAGGGAAGGAGCAGGTTTCATGCCATCTTGCTAGTGGGCAAATGAGTGGAGACTGATTTTTGGGGAAGTCTGGGTGAAGAGATGGAAACTGAATTTGTAGCAGGTAATGCCTACATTTTGACAGTTTCAGGTGCTGAGACTTTCGAGTCCAAAGAAGTAGATTTAAATCACCTTGTTTCATTAGAATAGTAATGTAACATTCTTTTTTTAAATAAAAAAAATTTTTTTTTAGAGAAGTGAATTAAGAGGGTGGGGGCAGAGGGAGAGAGAAAAATCCCAAGATGGTTCCTCACTTAGTGTGGAATGCCACATAGGGCTCAATCTCACGACCCTGAGATCATGAGCTGAGCTGAAATCAAGAGTCAGATGCTTAACTGGCTAGCCACCAGGTGCCCCACAAATGTTTTTTTTTTTTTAAAGAAAAACATTGCTTTATTTGACTGTATAAAATTTGAATATGTTATATATTAAAAAACATGAATACCTCATACATTGCTATTGAGATTTTAAAATGGTGCAGTCACTCTGGAAAACAGTAAGGTAGTTTGTAAAAATGTTAAACATGGACTTACCATATGACTCAGAAATTCTACCCACAAGTGTATACCCAAGAGAAATGAAAATATGTATCTGTATAAAAACTTATACATAAATGTTCATACCAGCACTATTCACAGTGGCCCAAAAGAAAACATACATATGTCTATCTACCAATAAGTGGATAAACAAAACTGGTATACCCATACAGTGGATTAATATTGAGCCATAAAAAGGAACTAACTACTGACATATTACACCATGTATGAACCCTGGAACCATCATGCCAGATGAAAGACAACAGTCGTAAAGGATTACATATTGTGTTTATATTTTATATATGTTCATATATTTGTATGAAATGTCAACTCCACAGGATAGGCAACTTTAGAGAAACAGAAATAGATTAGTGGTACAAGGTGATGCAGAATCTAGGGGAATGGGAAATGACTACTAATGTATTTGAGTTTTATTTCTGGAATGATGAGAAAGTTCTAAAAATAGGTGGTAATGATTTCATAATTCTGTGAATATACTAAGAACCTCTAAATTGCATATTTTAAAAGGGTGGATTTTATGGCATGTGACTTATTTCTCAATAAAGCTGTTAAAGATCATAGTGGCCAAGCTAATGACAAATGAAAAAAGTTGTTAACACTTCACAGAGATGGTTAATATTTGTAACATTAAAGGCATTTTTTATATAAAGTAATGTAACAAATTCTAGTGCTTTAATTTCCATATCTGCAAAGCAGGGCTCACTGGTGACCTAGAGGCAAGCTATGAGAATTAAATAACTGTTAACATTCCTATTAGTTATTGCTATTATCCTTAGTTTTCATTGCACCTGGGATACTTAAGAATCAGTATGTAGAGAGGTTTAAGTGTTTAGCTAACTTAAGTATTGTTAAGAGTAGAACTGGAGTATTGTGAAATTCTGATGATTGTGTTCTCATGGATCTAACGCTATTTCATCTTCCTAGTTCATTTCACAGATATTTATTGCATTTCTGCTATGTACAGGTGCTAAACTAGTTGTCAGGGGTACAGTGATGATTCCATCATTGCTTCTACTTTCAAGAATCTTATGATTAAGCAGGATAAAAGGGAGATGATAGGATGGTTACCCAAAGATGTGACAAGGGGGAAAGAGGCTCACAGAGCAGAGGAGAGGCAATGGGAAGTTGGGAGTGGAGTTCCAGGAATCTGTCCCTCAGTGAACCCTGAACAGAGAAGGAAGAGTAGAATTTATCCAGGTAACACAAAGGTGGAGGAATGGAGGTGGGTAATGAGGGTGGTAATGTAAAGCAAGGGTGAAACCCAAAGTTAGCCTAGGACAGAGTAAATACCAGGAACAACCAACAGCCTGTTGCCCAAACCATAAGACAGGTGGAAGCAGTGTGGTGGGATAAAGAGCCAAGAGCCCAGTTCTGAAAGCCATTATGAGGCATTCAGGTGAGCTTTGATTTTTATCCTAATGGCAACCGGAAGCTTTTGAAATTTTAATCGAGCTGTGAAATGGCTAGATTTTTGCTTCATATAGATAATTTTGAGTACTGAATGAAGGAAGAATTGAAGATAAATCTGTCCTGAATTTTTTTTTAAACGAGTTCTTTTTTTTAAAAAATTATATTCATTTATTCATGAGAGACACAGAAAGAGAGAGGCAGCAACACAGACAGAGGGAGAAGCAGGCTCCATACAGGAAGCCCCACGTGGGACTCAATCCTGGGTCTCCAGGATCATGCCCTGGGCTGAAGGCAGTGCTAAATCACTGAGCCACCCAGGCTGCCCTCTCCTGAAGTTGAAAGACTTACTAGAGGGAGGAGTTTATTGTAGTTTGGGCAGTGATTAAGAATATAGATTAGAGGGTTGGTTTGAGAAATGTTTAGCCGAGAAAATGGCAGTTGTCGATGATGGGTGTAGGGGGTAGAGTGGGAAGGGAAGGAAGTGGCTTCAGGGCTATCTTAGATTTCTAGTTGGGTGGCTGTGTTGGTGGTGCTATACCACTTGAGATACTGCAGGAAAAACGATGACTTTATTCTTTTAGAAAATAGACTGATTCATCAGGTATTTCCATTTGGCTTTGTAGATAATTCCATGATAATTTTCTTCTTCCAGGACTTTGACACTATAGCTGTTGGATATCTGGGTCTTTTTTGTTCCTTAGGAAGCATAAACTTTGCTTTTAAAGTTTATATATGCTTAACTCTCTCTTTTCTCTCTTAATTTTTTTTTAATCTCTAGGAAGAACCTAAGAAAGTCCGCTTTGATTATGACTTATTCTTGCATCTTGAAGGCCATCCACCAGTGAATCACCTCCGCTGTGAAAAGCTAACTTTCAACAACCCCACTGAGGAGTTTAGAAGAAAGTTGCTGAAGGCAGGAGGGGTAAGTGGCACTGCCTGTGAAAAGCCTTCATATCAAAATCTAGTTGCTAATTTGTTGAGAAGTATATGCATGTTTTGAGAGAGGTAAAAGAGAGGAAGGACTTTAGTAACTTAAGCTGTGGGCTCCTGGTTTGGGATGAAGAGGTAAGTTAACACGAATATTTTAAGTAGGTATGAATCTGAAATTACACTGTTGGTTAGAATAGTTTGATAGTCTGTGCAGTTCAAATCTATTTTAACAAAAAGCCAAAGATAATATACTTTCCTCACTTAAGAAAAGTACAATGTCTGAAGTTTGTCTTATCGATTTATAGAAACTCTTAGATAAAACTGAAAGTCATGTTTAAAGTTAAATAAAAGAGGTCATTGTCCAGATTTTCTTGGGAAAAATTAATAGAAAATGTACAGTCATTCATATGATAGACTTGGGTAATTTAAATATACATTTTGGTTTGTTTGAATTATGTGTAGGTAAAAGATGAATTTCTTTAAAAATTTTTTTAAAGGTTTTATTATTTATTTGAGAAAGAAAGGCGGAAAAAGAGAAAGAGAGAGTGCACGCGAGTATGAGTGGGTAAGGAAGGAGCAGAGGGAGAAGCCGACTCCCCACAGAGCAGAGAGCCCAACGCAGGGCTCAATCTCAAGACTCTGAGATATTGGATCCCTGGGTGGCGCAGCGGTTTGGCGCCTGCCTTTGGCCCAGGGCGTGATCCTGGAGACCCGGGATCGAATCCCACGTCGGGCTCCCGGTGCATGGAGCCTGCTTCTCCCTCAGCCTGTGTCTCTGCCTCTCTCTCTCTCTCTCTCTCTCTCTCTCTCTGTGTGTGTGTGACTATCATAAATAAATAAATATTTTAAAAAAAGAAAATCTTAAAAAAAAAAAAGACTCTGAGATATTTACCTGAGTTGAAATCAAGAGTCAGATGTTTAACTGACTGAACCATCCAGGTACCCTTGTAATACAACTCATTTTAAAATTCGAGATTTATTGTATATTTATTAAGGAAGTGGTTTTTTTTTTTTTTAAACTTATTCTCTTTTCTTTATGGTTATAAAGAATACTGTGATGATGCAATTTGCTTGTGGCTATAGCCTTAAAAATGAAGTCCATTTCTGGGTATCTACACAAAGAAAATGATGACACTAGTTTGAAAAGATATATGAACCCTTATGTTTATTGCAGCATTATTTACAATAGCCTAGATTTGGAAGCAACCTAAGTGTCCATTGGTAAATGAATGGATAAATAAGATGTGGGATATATACATAATGGGATATTACTCAGCAATAAAGAAAGAATGAAATCTTGCAATTCATGACAACATGGAGGGACCTAGAAGGTGGATATTGTGCTAAGTGAAGTAAATCAGAGAAAGACAAATACCATGATTTTATTTACATGTGAAATCTAGAAACAAGCTAAATAAACAACCGAACAACAATAAAAAAATAAAACAAAACAAAAAAACCAGAAACAGACTTGGAAATACAGAGAATAAACTCTAGTGGTTGCCAGAGGGGAGGACTGATAAAGAATGTGAAGGGGATTAAGAGGTACAGACTTGGGATCCCTGGGTGGCGCAGCGGTTTGGCGCCTGCCTTTGGCCCAGGGCGCAATCCTGGAGACCCGGGATCGAATCCCACGTCGGGCTCCTGGTGCATGGAGCCTGCTTCTCCCTCTGCCTGTGTCTCTGCCTCTCTCTCTCTCTCTCTCTCTCTCTCTCTCTCTCTCTCTCTCTCTGTGACTATCATAAATAAATTTAAAAAAAATAAAAAAATTAAAAAAAAAGAGGTATAGACTTCTAGCTATAAGATAAATAAGGCATGGGTATGAAAATATAGCATAGGGAATTTAGCCGGTAAAATTGTAATAATTTTGTATGGTAACAGATGGTGACTACACTTAACTATGGTGAGCATTTCATAATGTATATAGCTGTCAAATCACTATGTTGTACACCTGGAAATAACACGATGTATGTCAACTATACTTTGATAAAAAAATGAGCTGGTCCATTTTAAATCCTGATTCTTATTATTTTCTTTTTTTATGATGGGTGGCATTTTATGCTTCTCATTATTCCTCTCGGATATGTAATTAGGTGGGTGATTGGACCCTGTCGATTCTGGAACTTGAGTACATCAGGCTTCTGATAAGAGTCCTAGGAAAGTAAATATGACACAAGAACTTTTTCAAACATCACTTAGTCCCAGAGTACTCAAGGCTTGCTCATGAGCTAGAGGAGAGGTTACAGGTCAGTGATAATGCAGCAGAGTGCAGCGCTACATCCTGATAAGGTCTCCAGTAGATTTCTGTCTTCCTTTTCTCAGCCTTTATCTCAGAACTGTCCTCCTTGACTTTCCTTCTTTGTATTTCTTTAAGTGCTGTTTGAAGCCTGTAGATTTTTTTTCCTATTAGACTTAGATTGTGTCTTGGCACCTCTAAAATAAGTTGAAATGTGAAATATTCAGGCAAACCAGTTTTTAACAAATTCTTTAAGAGACTGATTCCAGTAAATTTTGTTGTTAAAATTTAAAAATGTGTTTGGAATAATAGTAATCCTATAGATCCAGTTAGTATGGGGACAATGAGTCTTTGATGGAAATGTGGGAATCTGCAGCCAAATAAATAATATAAATATATATATATATATATATATATATATATATATATATATATATATTGGCTTACTTAGATTTTTGGCTACCTTGTATTGTTTCTACCTGATGTGTAAATATTTATCATTGTGTTGATATTAATGCAGCCTGTCATGGTGTTACTAAATTATGAGTCTTTTTTATTTTATTAGAAATCTTTCTTTTAAGCTTTATTAACATAATTGACATACATACAACATTGCATAAGTTTAAGACATACAGTGTATTGATTTGATACATTTGTCTGTTGCAGAATGATCACCACCATATATTTAGCTAACATCTCCATCACGTTACATAATTACCATTTCTTTTTTTGGTGAAAACATTTAAGATCTACTCTCTTAGCAATTTTGAAATATACAATTCCGTAGTATTAATTATAATTGGCATTCTTTCCATTAGATCTCCAAAACTTACTCCTCTTACAACTAGACATTTCTATTATTGGACCTGCATTTCCTCTTCTTCCCCCACCTCTAGCATCTGGTAGCTACCATTCTAGCCTCTTTTTCTAGTTCAGCTTTTAAAAATCCCATGTATAAGTGATATCATACAGTATCTGTCTTTCTCTGACTTATTAACTTAATGCTTTCAAGTTTCATCAATGTTGTCACAAATGGCATGATGTCCTTGTTTTTCATAGCTGAATACTACTCTGTTATTGTATTCATTCACTTAGAATCTGTTTCCAGATGTTGGCTATTGTAAATAATGCTGCAGTGGACATAGAAGCACAGATATTTTTTCAATATTTGTTTTTATTTCCTTTGTATACACACACAAACACACATGTGGGATTGCTGGACCCTATGGTAGTTCTATTTTTAATTTTTTGAAAAACCTCTATATTATTTTCCATAGTGGAAACACCAGTGTACAGTCCCACCAACAGTGCATTAAGGATTCTATTTTCTCCATATCCTCTCCAATACTTACCATTTCTTATCTTTTTAATTATAGCCTTTCCAACAAGTGTGAGGTGATATCTCATTGTGATTTTGATTTGCATTTCCCTAATGATTAGTGATGTTGAGCACCTTTTTATGTACCTGTTGGCCATCTGTGTATCTTAGGCAGATTTTTAAATTGGAGTATAGTTTCTGCTATTAAGGTGTACGGATTCTTTATATATTTTGATTTGTCAATATTGATTTGCAAATATTTTCTTCTATAAGTTGCCTTTTTCATTTTGTTACTGATTTCCCTTACTTTGCAGAGCTTTTTAGTTTGATGTAGTTCTACTTGTTTGTTTTTGCTTTTGTTGCCTCTGTTTTGATGTTTATTAGAAATCCTGTTCATGACTGTGTCTCTTCAGATAACCATTTTTTTTCCTGGGTTTTAGGGTGAGAGAAGGGTGTTGTGTTTCTTATACTTAGACATTAGACATGTGTGATATAGATATATATATTCTACCTTTATAGGCAAAACTCAATCCCTTATCCTTATGTACCGTGTGAAATCATTATAGCTTGAGGCATGAGTGGAGTAAACTTACTGTTTTGGGTATGGTTCCTTCTCCTAACTTTTTAACCAAAAGTACATAACACTATTAAAAGTTGAACTTGGCTTTTTGAGAGATCAGAAAGGTTGTTTTTAAGCTAGTAGCATCTTAGAAAAATGCTTTTAACTCTTAGAAGAAAATGGCTTCAAAGAGCTTTTTGCCAGAAGAATCTTGAAAACTTATAGATTTTTTTTTCTACTTCAAAATCTATAAACCAATAACTACATGACATTTTTTGGTCCATAAGATTCTCTCTTTTTACACTCTGTTATTTCTTCTTCTTCTTCTTCTTCTTCTTCTTCTTCTTCTTCTTCTTCTTCTTCTTCTTCTTCTTCATCTTTTTCTTCTTTCTTCTTTCTTCTTCATCTTTTTCTTCTTTCTTCTTTCTTCTTCTTCTTCTTCTTCTTCTTCCCTTTTTTTTTTTTTAATGTTGCAACTCATTTCTAAATAGTCTCAAAGAAATGTACCCTGGGGATCCCTGGGTGGCTCAGTGGTTGAGCGTCTGCCTTAGGCCCAGGGTGTGGTCCTGGAGACCCGGGATTGAGTCCTGCATCGGGCTCCCTTCATGGAGCCTGCTTCTCCCTCTGCATGTCTCTGTCTCTCTCTCTCTCTCTCTCTCTCTCTCTCTCTCTCTCTCTCATAAATAAATAAATAAATAAATAAATAAATAAATAAATAAATAAATAAATAAAATCTTAAAAAAAAAATGTACCCTGTGTTCTTCTGTTGAATCAGTCCCTAATATATACTTAGGATATTTTGCTTAGAAAAGAAAAACTTTTGAGGGAAGAACACATTTGTAATTAAGCATTGTTTTCTGAGAATGTTGGAATACAGAA